GGTTCGGGCGGGACGGCCTGGGTGGGCGGCCCGGCTGAGCGTCCCCCTGTCCCGCAGTGTCCCTGGCCTCCAGCACCGTCGGGCCGGGCGGGCAGAAAAGCAAGCTGCCAGGTCTGGGACTCAAACTGCAGTTGGCCATGTGGGAGTCTCACCCTTAACCACCACGCCACCTCTCTCCCCACCCCCACCCCCATCCTTCATATTTTCCCAATTCTTACCATTCTTTTAAGTTTCAGGTGAAGTTTCTTTCCTAAGAAAACCATCGGTGACCTCCCTAACTCCTTTTCTGTCATTATCTTCATCACCCTCAGTACTTCACATATAACGCTTCATTCTCTCAAGGACTTGTAGGTTGTTCTACAGATGATGCATTCTTACTGTGCTATGCTGATTCTTGAATGATTATGTAATGACTATATCCTGTCCTGTGTGTTTACAAGTTACTTTCTTAAAAATCCAACATAGTTATTGTCTCTGGGATTTAGGTTTAATTTACCAGTGGTTTTTTTTATGTTTTTTTTTTTTTAAAGAATTATTTATTTATTTCCATTTGTTATTGTTATTATTTTTTTTTCTTTATTTGACAAGAGAGAGAGAGAGAGAGGGTGAAAGTGAGAAAGCAAGCCACCAGGTCCAGGACTTGAACCATGGTTGGCCTTGTGGAAATCTAGCACCCTTATCCACCACACCACCTGCTGGCCCTTTTTTTTGTGTTTTTAATTGCCAGAGGATATGTATGCTTGCCAGAGACTGAAAGGGAGAGGGAGAAGGCACCCCTCAATGGTGCTTGGGCATACTGCAATCATTTTTCTGCTACTTCTCCATCCTGTCATAGGGCATGTACACTTGCCTGAGAGACAGAAAGACAGTAAAAGGGAACGTGAGAATCACCCCGCCTAGGGCGGATTGCTACACTGCAGTCCCTTCTCTCTTCTTCTCCCGAGACTTAGAGCATGCATGCACATGTACCTAGATCTGGGACTCAGACTGTGGTTGGCCATGTGGGAGGACAGTGCCTTAAACACTATGCCATCTGCTGGCCCCTACCTGGCATGATTTTTAGGTCCCCATGGCCAGGATTCAAACTTCTGGTGAACCATTTGGAATCTGACTCCTTTGACAATAGACTGCAGGGTCAGGACCCCTTATTTAAAAAACAAACAAACAAACAAAAACTGGCATCATTATTCTCTGTTTTTTTGTTTGTTTGTTTGTTTTTTCATATCTGATGGGGGACCAGTAGTTGGCATAATGGCTATGTCAGTGGACTCCCATGTAGTCGACCACGGTTCGAGTCCCAGACCCAGTGACTTAAACTCACGCTGGGTATGTGTGTGTGCGTGCCCCAGATCCTGAGAGGAAAAGGGAGGAGAAGGGATTGTGGTGTGGCCATTCCCCCAGGAGGTGATTTCTCACTTTCTATCTCCCTGTCTCTCTCTGTCTTTCTGGTGAGTGCACACGCCCTACAGTGAAAACCTCTCCCAAAAACAAAAAACACCTGCTGTAGGGCATGTGCACTCACCAGAGAGAGTGAGAGATAACAACGCTGGTGGAATGGACATGTCATAATCCCTTCCCTATTCTCGTCCTGCAATTTTGGTTACACATGTGCCTGGTCTGTTTTTCTTTCTCTTTTGTTTAAAGGGTTTTGCTCTAAGGCACATGTGCTCAGCAGAGAGAGAAAATGAGAAATCGCCCTCTAAGGGAGATGGCCATGCCCCAGTCCCATCTCCTCCATTCTTCTCTCTGGATTTTGGGCATTCACACACGTGCCTAGCATGATTTTTCAAGCCACCAGGTCCAGAATTTGATTCATGGTTGGCCATGTAGAAGTCCAGCCTCCTTAGCCACCTTGCCACTAGCTGTCCATAATTTATGTTATTCTTACAAGCCCGGGTTAGTCTTTTGTTGCTCCTATTTTTAAGTTTTAGATATTTTGCCCTAGATCACCTTCAAATAGGTGGTTTCATATGAATTAAATTATATGAATCTGTACATATCTGAACCTAGTAAAAAAAAATTAGTGACACACATGTTGCTTTCATTTTCCTTGTTGAGATTATTTATGTTGTTGTGTTTCTTAGGAGGTTTTTGCCTTAGGGCTCATGTACTCTCTGGGGAGAGAGAGACAGAAATAGTGAGAGGGAAAATGAGAAATCACCCCCCCAGGGAGGATTCTCCTTCTCTTTTTCTGGGATCTTGGGCACGCACACACACACACACCTGGCGTGATTTTGAAGCCTCTGGGTCTCGGACTCATACCACAGTTGGTAATATGGGAGTCCAGTGATGTAACTGCTACACTATCTATGGCCCTAAGATCGTTTATGGTGGTGTTGTTAGGATTACAATTTTCAGAACTACTCATTAATTATAGATACTTATTTTTAAAAGTTATTTTACCTCTCTTTCTTTCTTTTTTTCTTTTAATTTGATCAGAGAGGGACAGAGAGAGAGAGAGAGGGAGGGGAAGTAAGAGAAAGCAAGCCGCCAGGTCTGGGACTTGAACTGCAATTGGCCATGTGGGAATCCAGCACCCTTAACCACTGCATCACCTGTCAGCCCCAATTATAGCTCCTTTTTAAAAAAAATTATTTAATTTTATTTATTATTATTTTAATTTGTTCAGAGAGAGGGACCTGGACAGTGGGAAATCAAGCTACCAAGTCCAGGACCTGAACCACTATGTGGGAGTCTAATGCCCTAACCACCACACCAGCTGCTGGCCCCAATTACAGCTAGTTTTTAAAAAAAATCAGTACCGTTGTCATTTGTTTAATCGTTTTTTAAAAATTATTTATTATAGGGCATGTGTACTCATTAGAGTGAGAAAGTGAGAGTCCAACGCCTTAACCATCACACCACCTGCTGTCCCCCATTTGTTTAATCTTTAAAAAAGCTCTTTAGATTGGTGACATTCTCATTTTACAAATGGGAAAACAGAAGCTCAGAGATGTTAAGAACTATGAAATAGCTGGAGGCAGAATTGAAACCCAGAGCCACAAAGGCTTGAGTTTATCTGCCTTTGTTTATCTTGCCTGTAGTGAACAAACTCCCTTGCAGAGTCTGGTTATGTCACTGGATTTCCATGTAGTCGACCACGGTTTGAGTCCCGGACCCGGCAGCTTAAGCTCACGCTGGGCACATGTGCGTGTGTGCCCAAGATCCCAAGAGGAGAATGGAGGAGAGGGGATTGTGGCGTGGCCATTCCCCCTGGGGGGGGGATTTCTTGCTTTTTCTCTCTCTGTTACTCTCTGTCTTTCTGGCGAGCACATGTGCTCTATAGCAAAAAGCTCTCAAAAAAAATAAGATTTTTTGTTTTCTTTTTATTTGTCTGCGTTTATGTGCACTTACCAGGGACAGAGAGGGAGGCAGAAAGTACCTCCTGGTGGGTTGTGGTCACACTGCAATCCCTTCTTGTTTATTCCATCCTGTCAAGATTTGGGCACATACACATGCACCCATCATGTTTTTCAAGCTGCCAGGGCCGAGATTCAAACCTCACAGTCGGCCACATGGGATTTGGCTCCTTAACCACTAGGCCATGGGACTGGCCTTCAGCTGAATTTTTCTAGTATTCATGTTCCACTGGACCAGATCCCTACCCCTTACCTCAGTTGTCTCTGTGCCATTACTTTTCGGTGAGGGCAGTACTTATTACCACACAGCTGCTATAGGCCTTTGTTTAAACGGCTTTGTGAGCCCTACATTCTTATTATTTTGTACTTCCACTAGATGGCAGGAGTGACCACATTCTGCAGTGGTGAGGGCGAAGGGAGTGAAAACCAAAAGGAACCTGGGGACAGAAGCCAAGAGAGGAATGGAATGAGATTCTGGGGTACCAAGGGAAGGTGGGTTTTCAGTATAAACATGAAGTAAGGAGGCAGCTGCTCTTTGACTTATGTTGTATATTTAAGTGAAATATAGGTTTGTAGAGAAAAAGAAAAATTACCAAGGTATTTCTTCCTGGGGGGCTGCCAGGTGATATGGTGGGTGTGTGTTAAGGCACTGGACTCCCACAAGGTTGACCACGGTTTGAGTCCTGGACCTGGCAGCTTCCTATCTCTGTCTCTGTCTCTGTCTCTTTTCTCTGGTCAAATTAAAAATATGTAAATAAATATAATTAAGTAATTCTTTAAAAAAATTCTTCCTTCTGGCAAGTTTCCTTTCTTTGGCCATTGGCCAGAAAGAAAAGTTGACTTTTCTTTGTTTTTTAAGGTTTTTGCCATAGGGCATGTGTGCTTGCCCGAGAGAAAGTGAGATATGGGGGGAGGGTCATGCTGCAATCCCTTCTCCATTCTCCTCCTAAGATCTTGGGCATGCATCCACAAACCCCATTGTGATTTTCAAACTGCTGGGTCCAGGACTCGAACCTAAATTGGCCATGTGGGAGTCCAACACCTTAACCACCACCATGCCACCTGCTAGCCCTCTGAAATCTTATTTTTGTTTTGAATCAACCCAACAAAAGGCTACCCAAACTGAGGTTTTCTATTTCTGCCTACAACCAATTTATATTCTACCTCCTCTATCCCCTTATTTTTATTTAACTAGCTTTTTATTCTTACTCCTATACCCATAATGTCTCCCTTTTTTTTTTTGAAGAGGTTTTTGCTATAGGGCGCGTGCGCTCGCCAGACAGACCAAGAGAGACAGAGAGACAGAAATCACCTCCCAGGGGGGGTGGCCATGCCGCAATCCCTTTTCCTCCGTTCTCCTCTTGGGATCTTGGGCACGCACGCACACGCACCTGGTGTGAATTTTAACCCACTGGGTTCGGGACGCGAACCATGGTCGACTACATGGGAGTCCAGCGACATAGCCATTACGCTAACTGCTGGTCCCAATGTCTCCCTTTTTAACCTCCACATTTCTGCCCATTTTAGGATTAGCTTCTTTCTCAGTGTTCTGAGTTTAGACATATTTTTAATTCATCACCCCTTTGGTGTTTCAGCCTTTTCTTTCTTGCCTCCATCCTGAAATCAGGACTGTTTCTCTAAAGTGCCCTTGCTTTTCTTTAAGTGATAAAATTGTTTTACAAATCCCAATGGGATTTTCTATTTACTATAACATCTGCCTTGGGGCAGCTCTTCCTTAGCAACTAAAGTTCGAAAAGCTCTTGTGTGTAACTCTTTCCTAGCCAAATGTTATTCTTATATTTTCATTTAGCCTTCTACTGGTTCAGTTTTTTCAGTAGTAAGATTAAGGAACCAAACTTATTTTCCAAGCTTCTTTCATTCATGTGCCACTTTCACAACTTTAGCCAAATTAATATAGTAACCATGGTGCTGTTTGCTTGAGATTTTTCTTTAAATTGAGTCCTTTACATTTATTTTTATTTTTAAATTCTGGGCTGGACCTGTTGTCTAGTGGTTAAGGGAACTGGGTCTCACGTGACCAACTTTTGAATCCGACTTTGGCAGCTTGAAAAACACCAGGCAGGCCAGTGAGGTGGTGTAGCGGTTAAGGTGGCTAGATCCCACGTGACCAACTGAATAGTTCAAGTCCCAGGCCTAGAGGCTTGACAGACATGCTGAGCGTGCCTGTGTGTACCCAAGATCCTGAGAGGATGGAGAAGAAGGAATTGTGGCATGGTCATCCCCCTTGGGGGCACGGGGGACTTTCTCTCTCTTTCTCTTTCTTTATCTCTCTGTTTCTCTCCAGTCCTATAGAAAGTTCAACAACAACACACACACCCTCAGGCGTATACAGACATTCTCCAAATCTTGACAGGATGGAGAGATGAAAGAGGAGGGATTGCAGCCTGACTGTGCTCCTTTGGAGGGTGCTTTCTCCCCTTTCCCATCTCTGTCCCTCTTTGGCAAGGCATGTGGCCTCTGGCAATTTTTAAAAAGTATTTGTTGCATGAGCAGGTGACAGGGAAACAGCAGCACCTCAGACAGGGTCCCAACGCCGCAATCCACTCCAAGCTTTCAGCCAGTCCCAGATCATGAGCACTGCCACTTCGCCACCTGCTGGCCCCAGCAGCTGCTCTTCTGGGTTTAGGTGTTATTCTTTCATGGAATTCATGCCTGGATCTGTGGTGTACAACTTTTAGATGCCTCGTTCTACTGTTCTCAGTGGTATTTCATCCTTTAGCATTGGCACTTCAGTTAGCAGGGCAGTCACAGTTGCCAGACCAACTGAAGTTGGAAAGCATTAGAACCACAGGGGCTGCACACACGCGTGCGTCTTACTGCAATACTTTCCAAACGATAACTTTCCCTTCATCATTTCGCTTCTGTGGCTGAGACCGAAGAGCTAGACTGCAATTCTTAGTGACTGAATTAAGTATGTTGTATATTTTTTTTTTCTTTTAACAAATTCTTAGTGACTGAATTAAGTATGTTGTATTTTTTTTTCTTTTAACCACCCAGTGTGTGCTTTTAGATTTCTTCAGGGGCCCCACAGTATCAAATATCCGCCTGGCTGGATTAGAGTATGTTCTGCACTTCACTGCATGGAATGGGAAGATTTACCTGCGAAGTTATAAGTAAGTGCATTTCAAGACCGTCAGATGGTATAATGGTTACGTTGCTGGACTCCCATGTAGTGGACCGTGGTTTGGGTCCTGAACCTGGCAGCTTAAAATTCATGCTGGGTGCGTGTGCGTGTGTGCCCAAAATCCCAAGAGGAGAATGGAGGAGAGGGATTGTGGTGTGGCCATCTCCACTGGGGGGTGATTTCTTGCTTTCTGTCTCTTTCTGGTGAGTGCACATGCCCTAGAGCAAAAACTTCTCCAAAAAAAAAAAAAGCAAATGCATTTCATAGCTTTTTTTTTCAGCCTTTGCTTTGCATTTTAGTGAGACTCTTTTACAGAACTCAACTTAGAGTTGGTACCTTGCCAAGGGTTTGCTTGGAGAATTTGTAGACTAGCAGCAGCAGCTCTGCTGATTCTCAAATCTGTCATTTCACTGCTAACCTCTGCCCCCGAAGCCCCACTTGTCCAGGGCCTCAGAGCATCTGATGCTGCCTTCTTTCTAAGTCTGGAACCCTGAGTTAGTTAACTGTTCCTAGCTTTAGGAAATATCTTTTTATTGTTCTTGACTGAGTTTTGGGCACCAAGCCCAAAGTCTTAGGCTAGCCAAAGCAAATTTCAGAAGCCTAAATCCAAAAAATAGAGTCTAACAG